TCACGTAAACAAAACGACCAATGGGTTTACCACTTCAGCCACCGGGGTGTGTTGGAGAGTAAATCCACAAACATTAACTGAATTGAGTAGGCACTGCGACGTTTCGCTGCTAATTTATTCCGAGAAACTGGAACTTTTTTTTGTATTCATGCGAGAGTGGGTAGCGGTGTACAACCCAAGTTCGATTCCTGCTCACTGGGTCACAACCATCAAGCACCCAGTGACGACGATTATCGGGATCGGTTCTGGGACACCCCCCCCCGCCCTCCTGTGCAAGGTCGACTCGGCCTCAAATGAGTATCGTGGTGTGATGTGTAAGCATTGCCACGGAGGGAGACAAAGGCGGCCGGGCGTGGTGCTGGCCACCCACCCCATCGTGTGCCGTGCCGGCATTCATATAGGCGCTACTCGCTAACAGTACTTGCCACAACAGTGTGTTAAATGCTACACGGTGGATTTTTGCTTTCGTGTGAATCTGTATGAATATATTCTTATATTAAGACTTAATGGGGGAAAAAAAACATGTAATTGCCCCGTATTGATTATGTACTAATTATATCAGGTATAATAGAATTACGCAATGATGTTATTACTGATAGTGTGCGTGCGTTGGCTGCGCGTGTGAATCGTCCACGCATAGTAGATGCTTGTGACTGACCAGTGATGGACTGAAACAGATTATCGTGATGTTCCAGATGGGCGAGAGAGCTGAGTGACTGTTGCTAGTGGTTGTACGTCGTTGAACTTCTTTTGCATCGTACGTAGCCAACCGCGCTAATCGGATGTGCGAGGAATGGACAAAAAAACTGAACACAAAAAGCTTATCTAAAGAATTGAGTATTCCATTTCGATGATTTAAAAGGGCACCGCTCCAGTGGCTTCCTAATACTGTATCGGAAGGAAGAGCGTTCCAGACGGCCGCTGAAGTGCACTTGGAAAGCGCGGTGGTGATGGGTGTTCTTGAAGGACTAGAGAGCTGAGTGACTGGAGTACAACTCTAGTGATGTTCTAGAAGGGACAGAGAGCTGAGTGACTGGAGTACAACTCTAGTAATGTTCTAGAAGGGGTAGAGAGCTGAGTGACTGATGTACATTCTAGTGATGTTCTAGAAGGGATAGAGAGCTGAGTGATTAATGTACAACTCTAGTGATGTTCTAGAAGGGATACAGAGATGAGTGATTGATGTACAACTCTAGTGATGTTCTAGAAGGGATGGAGAGCTGAGTGACTGATGTACATTCTAGTGATGTTTTAGAAGGGATGGAGAGCTGGGTGACTGATGTATATTCTAATAATGTTCTAGAAGGGATAGAGAGCTGAGTGACTGATGTACATTCTAATGATGTTCTAGAAGGGATAGAGAGCTGAGTGACTGATGTACATTCTAATAATGTTCTAGAAGGGATAGTGACTGATGTACATTCTAATAATGTTCTAGAAGGGCTAGAGCCGAGTGACTGATGTACAACTCTAGTGATGTTCTAGAAGGGCTAGAGAGCTGAGTGACTGATGTACAACTCTGATGTTCTAGAAGGGATAGAGAGCTGAGTGACTGATGTACAACTCTAGTGATGTTCTAGAAGCGATAGAGAGCTGAGTGACTGATGTACATTCAAGTGATGTTCTAGATGGGCGAGATAGCTGAGTGACTGATGTACAACTCTAGTGATGATCTAGAAGGGATAGAGAGCTGAGTGACTGATGTACAACTCTAGTGATGTTCTAGAAGGGATAAAGAGCTGAGTGACTGATGCACATTCAGGTGATGTTCTAGATGGGCGAGAGAGCTGACATGTGGCACAATCCTAGCCGAGTCTCTGCCGATTATTCTCGAAATCAGAACACCTAAAATAGTTCTGGTTTTACACCCCCCCCCTCTCCCGAGAGGAGCGCGCGGGGTGTGATTGGTGTCACTGGCAGTGCAGGAGAAGGGCTCTGTCTCGAGTTCCCGCAACGCGAGCGCCAGCCGTGAACCGAGTAGTTCGCCTCTGGTGGGGCTAGCGGTGGTGTGCGCTTGACTATAAAGCACCGTTAACAATCCCTATTAACATAATCGGCGTTGTTAGTGGGGCATTAGCGCGCGTGCATGTGTGTATGTGTGTGTATTCACCGGTTATACGGGGGATCTTTATCTTTATCTTTTATTCACCGGTTAATGTTGGAATTCAGTTCTTGTATCCGAGTAGTAGTTGTGGTCGGTATGTAAACCTGGTCATGAATGTACCCATGGAAATGTGCGTGTGTGTGTGTATTGGTGGACGGTGGTGTAGCGTTTAGCGCGCTGCGCTACGAACCTGGTGAGCCGGGTTCGATACCCGCTCACGGCCAACACCGGCGACGATTATCTGAACCGGTCCTGGGCCTCCCCTAGGTCGACTCGGCCTCAAATGAGTACCTGGTGCGATGTGTACAACATCGCCACTGGGGAGACAAAGGCGGCCGGGCGTGGTGTTGACCCACCGACACCCCCTCTGTGTGCCGTGCCGGCCTTCATAGGTGCTGCTCCTCGCTAACAGCACTTGCCTCAGTAGTCCCCTGAGGCTACATGGGAGGGGGGGCTTTGTCTTTGTGTTATGGCGCAGTGGTTGACGCACTGCGAATCTCCGGTAATTCAATTCCCCGTTCACGGCCAACATCAGTGGCGATTATCTCTGAACGTGACTGTGTGTGCATTTATATTACCGTGCACGTGTGTGTGTGTGTACACGCGTGTGCGCGTACATGCTGAGAGTCGAATGTTCATGTTTGTGTGTGGCGCAGTGGTTAGCGCGCTGCGCTACGAACCTGACCCCCCCTACCTACCCGAGTTGGATTCCCACTCGCGGCCGCCAACACTCAGTGACGATTATTTTAACCGGTCCTGAACCTCCCCTAGGTCGACTCGCCCTCAAATGAGTAACCTGGTGCGGTGCGTAACAAAAACATCGCCACGAGGGAGACAAAGGTGGTCGGGCGTAGCGCTGGCCACCCACCCCTTCGTGTGCCGTGCCGGCCTGCATAGGTGCTGCCACTCGCTAACAGCACTTGCCCCAACAGTCTGTTAAGGTTATACCGAGGATCTTTGAATTCTATTCTATTTCCATATCCGAATTTTAGATGTGTGTGTGTGTGTGAGTGGTGGCGCAGTGGTTAGCGCACTCGGGCGACGAAACCCCGGGGAACAAACGCGCATTGATCATCTTGGCGAAGTATGGTTAAACCATCCAATAAGCGTCACAGCGTGAATCGACATACCTGTTGTATTTTATATATATATTTGTACACGTGTGTGTGTGTACTATACGCGTGTGCTTCTCTGTACATTTCTTCGTGTTTTTGTGCGTGTCTGTTCGGGAATGTATTTCGCTACTGTGTGTGTGGTGTTGTGTGGGTGGTGGTGTTGTGTGGTGTTGTGTGTGTGTGTGGGTGTATGACTGCTTGTGTACACCGCGCCAGTGATAAAGATCTCCCAGGTAGTCTTAAACCGGCTGTTTTGGGGCAAGTGCTGTTCGCAAGCACCTCCTGAAGGGCCGGCACTGTGCAAGATGATTTGGATGGGAGGGGGGTGGCTAGCACCCACGCACAGCCGCCTTTGTCTCCCCTAGTGCTGACTTTTTACGCATTGCTCATTTGAGGCCGAGTCGATCTAGGGGGGGGGAGAGGCCCAGGACCGGTTCGGATAACCGTCGCTGATGATGTCCGTGATCCCGAACATGTAAACAATTCACGTACTGTCGTGAAATGTAATCCCCGCGATTTCGTTGCGTTTGCGTACTTAACGTGGTAATTTGCACGTGCCTGTGCACACACACAAACCACAAAGCTTATGTACATAGGAAGACGTAAAATTTTTTTATATTGCTGCAAATATATGCAGCAATAGTTTTACGATTGTGTAATAGGCACACAAATGTTATTGCGCGCGCGCGCACACACAGGCGCATATACATACACACATAGTGCTTGCTTTGTGTACATGCGCAACGTATTATTGCAAAGACAAAGGTCCCCCGTATAGGCTTAACAGAGTGTTGGGGCAAGTGCTGTTAGCGAGTGGCAGCAGCAGCTGCTGCACCTATGCAGGCCGGAATGGGTGGAAAGCGCCACGCCCGGCCGTCTTTGTCTCCCTAGCGGGGAGACCTTTACAAATCGTGTTTAAAAAAAAAATCGAACTCTCGCTGCCTGTGGGGTCCACCCAGCGAAAAAAAGTCATGGGTTCGTCACCGGTCTGTGGTGAGCAAATCGCTTGTGGCGATCGGGAACCGTTCCATTCATCGCTCGCTATATCAATTTCTCGTCTCGACTACTGGGGTATGGGCATCGTCGTCATCATCAAAAAATCGATTATTACTTACTAACGTCGCGTTGACGTCTGCCCAAGCCCGCCGAACAATCATGAACATTCTAAGAAGCGTCATCATTTTGACTTTGTTGTTAAAGTGCGACGCGACATTTGTGTAGCGTCCCTCCCAATCCACACGCGCGCGCTCCTGCTGCGTTTGTGCGACTCTCGCTGCGCTCATTCGGTACCCCCGGGGGGGGGGGGGTTGTGTGAGGTTGTTCCAGAGGGGTGCCAACTGGTGACGAGGTGTTAACTCCCTCGCCTGGTATGCAGGAGGTCGTGGGTTCCGATCCCGCGACCGGTAACGCCTGCTCTGTGTATTTGGAGTTTGCGTGTCTCTCTCTGTCTGTGTGTCTCTCTCCCCCCGTGGTCGCGTGGATTTTTCTCCTGGTCCTCCGGTGTTTCTTTCTCCGCATTTCGAATAGGCGTCGCGCGTGTGGAGTCTTTAGATGCTGCTGTAAATGTCCACGTGATTGAGCCGCTTTGTCGAGCTATAACTTGTGATAGCCAGGTCGCTTGAAAAAAAAAACTTTTACTACTCGGCGGGCATTAAATAGAAAGTGTTTAATGTGTGTGTGTTTTTAATAGATTGGTTTTAGTTTTGTATGTCTGGCTGACTAACGTGTCTCTCTCTCTCTCTCTCGTGTCTCTTTATCTGTGCCTGCTGTGTTGTGACCAGTTCACGACACCTACACGATATGGTGAGAAGGGAGATGGAGTGGAGGGGCAAGACGACTTGAAACGCTCTCAACAAACAACAACAACAACCACAACAAAAACTCACCACGCAAAATTACAATCGATTTTAATATTTTATTTTGTGAACACTCAAACCCCCCCCCCCCCACCCCCCCACCCAATCTCCCATCCCCTTGAAGATCGATAGATTATCGATAAATGTTTTCCTCCACTAATAAACAAAAATCGCACGCACATTATAACACGACACCAACAAGTGTGGATATAGACACGCGTGCACACACGCCATTATTAACGGCGGGTTGACGGATCCGGAACGAGATGGGTATATATGGGGACGAAATAACAATGAATGAGCTTAAAAAAAAAATATATCAATCCGTGTCTCTCTCGGTCAATATCGACACTTAACCACACGCAGACAAATATAAAGGTACCCGCTGCCCCCGTATAGCCTTGGGCAGGATTGGGGGGGGGGAGGGGCAAGTGCTATTAGCGAGTAGCATCAATGAAGGCCGCCACAGGCAAAGGTCTATGAGAGTAACATCTGCCCGCCCCCTCCCGCGATTACCACGCCCGGCCGCCTTTGTATCGCCCCCCCCCCCGGTGCCAATGCTGTTGACACTCCGCAGCAGGCTGAGTGGATCGAGTAGGGCAGGGAAGCGTCAAATGTATTCGATACTAATAGTTATTGTGCAGGGGGAAGTGAGGGGGGGGCAGAGGGGGGCGGGGTGGGTGGGGGGCCGTGGGGGGAGGGGTTGAGCTGGGTTCATAGCGGAGCGCGGTGCGCTAACCAGTGCGCCACCACTCCCCACCAAACGCACACACGCGGCATAGCTTTCAATAAGGCAAGTTAATATCAAGTAAATATCAAGAGTAATAAAGTGAATATAAGACTACGTTGTTGTAAGGGTTATTTATAAAAAATGCCATTCTTTTAAATAAATAAAAAATACAAACCACACAAAATATGAATATGTTATTTTCCGTTCATCATTGAAAATTATTGCTATTAAAATAATATTAATTATTATAATTGACTGATTTGTGAATAGATTGTTCAACTATGTAAGCATGTCCGTTTAAGGCAATTGCTTATATATATAAAAAAAATTACGATGCGTTTTTAATGTTTGTGTATACAATGTCTCTTAATGTCTATACAAAACGAGATGATATAAATACGTAAATACATGAATAAAATAAGTTACTAGATCAGTGTAGATTTTTTTTCCTGATATGAATTGTTTTTGTTTTGGAAAGCTTCGTTAAAATAAAGTTGTATAAAAAAATATCATCGTGATTATGATCAGCAAAGTCATCGCGATCATAATCCGCAGCAGCATCATCATCATCAGCAGCAACAGCAAAATGTACATATGCGAACTAATGGCTTTGATTTAAATGATTTAAAGAAATTACGACCTCCTTTGAATTCAATGAATAAAATTTGTGGATAGAGTGAACGTCTGGAGTGAGGCTGCATTCCAATGTTCTGAGTGTGTGGGTGAGTGCGGGAAGACAAAGGCGGCCGGGCGTGGTGCTGGCCACCCACCCCCTCGTGTGACACAGTGTCGGCCTTCATATGTTGGTGCTGCCACTCGCTAACGGCACTTGGCCCAACAGTCTGAGGCTACACGGGGGGATCTTTGTCTTTGTTGCGCGCGAGTTGGAGAATGTGATGTCTTTGTCTTGTGACCTGAAGTGTTGTTGAGTGAGTGGGCGAGTAGGCGAGTGGTCGAGTTGGTGAGTGAGTGGGCGAGTATATGAGTTGGTGAGTGAGTGAGCGAGTATATGAGTTGGTGAGTGAGTGGGCGAGTGGTCGAGTTGGTGAGAGTGGGCGAGTATATGAGTTGGTGAGTGAGTGAGCGAGTATATGAGTTGGTGAGTGAGTGGGCGAGTTGTCGAGTTTGTGAGTAAGTGGGCGAGTATATGAGTTGGTGAGTGAGTGAGCGAGTATATGAGTTGGTGAGTGAGTGGGCGAGTTGTCGAGTTTGTGAGTAAGTGGGCGAGTGGTTGAGTTGGTGAGTGAGTGGGCGAGTGGTTGAGTTTGTGAGTGAGTGGGCGAGTGGTTGAGTTTGTGAGTGAGTGGGTGAGTGCTTGAGTTGGTGAGTGAGTGGGCGAGTGGTCGAGTTGGTGAGAGTGGGCGAGTGCTTGAGTTGGTGAGTGAGTGGGCGAGTGGTTGAGTTGGTGAGTGAGTGAGCGAGTATATGAGTTGGTGAGTGAGTGAGCGAGTATATGAGTTGGTGAGTGAGTGAGCGAGTATATGAGTTGGTGAGTGAGTGGGCGAGTGGTTGAGTTGGTGAGTGAGTGGGCGAGTGGTTGAGTTGGTGAGTGAGTGGGCGAGTGGTCGAGTTGGTGAGTAAGTGGGCGAGTGGTTGAGTTTGTGAGTGAGTGGGCGAGTGGTCGAGTTGGTGAGAGTGGGCGAGAATTTGAGTTGGTGAGTGAGTGGTTGAGTTGGTGAGTGAGTGGGCGAGTATTTGAGTTGGTGAGTGAGTGGGCGAGTGGTTGAGTTGAGTGACTGAGTGGGCGAGCGCTTGAGTTGGTAAATGAGTGGGCGAGTGCTTGAGTTGGTGAGTGAGTGGGCGAGTGGTTGAGTTGGTGAGTGAGTGGTTGAGTTGGTGAGTGAGTGGGTATGTTGTGTTGCCACTTTTTAAACATCAATGCAGAGAGCATGTGGCAGAGAGATACACAGACAACACAAATCTCCCGTGTAAGGCGACAGTGTGAGAATATTGGTGTGGCCTGCGAATGGGTCGAATTGGTGAGTTGGTGAGTTGGTGGGCGAGTATGTTGTTGCGGGGTGAGTTGGTGAGTGTGTGAGTTGGTGGGTGGGTGAGTGTTGTTGTTGCGGGGTAAGTTGGTGAGTGGGTGAGTTGGTGGGTGGGTGAGTGTTGTTGTCGCGGGGTGAGTTGGTGAGTGGGTGAGTTGGTGGGTGGGTGAGTGTTGTTGTTGCGGGGTAAGTTGGTGAGTGGGTGAGTTGGTGGGTGGGTGAGTGTTGTTGTTGCGGGGTGAGTTGGTGGGTGGGTGAGTGTTGTTGTTGCGGGGTGAGTTGCTGAGTGGGTGAGTTGGTGGGTGGGTGAGTGTTGTTGTTGCGGGGTAAGTTGGTGAGTGGGTGAGTTGGTGGGTGGGTGAGTGTTGTTGCGGGGTAAGTTAGTGAGTGGGCCAGTTGGTGGGTGGGTGCGTGCGTTGTTACGGGGTGAGTTGGTGAGTGGGTGAGTTGGTGGGTGGGTGAGTGTTGTTGTTGCGCGGTGAGTTTGTGAGTGGGTGAGTTGGTGGGTGGGTGAGTGTTGTTGTTCCGGGGTTGAGTTGGTGAGGGGGTGAGTTAGTGGGTGGGCGATTGTTGAGCAGTGGCCCAGCAGAATATTCGCGCCGCGCTACAAACCCGGCGACCTGAGTTCGATTCCCGCTCACGGCCAACCCCGGTGACGATTATCTGAACAGGTCCTGGGCCTCCCCTACGTCGATTGAGCCTCAAATTAGCTCCTGGTGCGGCGTGTAAAAGTCGCCACTGGGGAGACAAAGGCGGCCGGGCGTGGTGCTGGTCACCAACCCCGTCGCGTGTCGTATAGGCCTTCACAGGCGCTCGCTAACAGCACTTGCCCCAACAATCTGTTCAGGCTATACGGGGAATATTTGTCTTTGGGTTAGTGTGTTGTTATGACGTGCACTGTTGCGTCAATCAGTGTGAGGCCACACGCTGCGATTGACAGATTTTACGTGAAAAAAAAGCAATGAATCGGTGACGTTTCAGGCAACGAGCCCTTGTCAAGGCATGTAGAGAGGACAGAGAGGCAGAGCGAGTTTACATGGCTTTTGAAAAGCATTGCGTGATAAGACATTACGTTCGTTCCAAATTTGATAAAAAATAAACTAAATAGTAGAGAACGTTTTACCCATCCCATCAGCCGCACGGCCTTTGGTAGAGTGCATCATTTCAGCAGCATTGATTCAAGACGAGCCGACACTCTGGAATGCCTTCAACACTCGATGTCTCATGAGCAGAAACAGGCTTTGCTGGAATCAATGATGGTGAAACTGCCAAATCTTACAGGCAAGAACGGGTTTCGAGAAACAGCGTCTCATCAGCAGGGCTAGGTTTTGCTGGAATCAATGATGGTGAAACTGCCAAATCTTACAGGCAAGAGCGGGTTTCGAGAAACAGCGTCTCATCAGCAGGGAACAGGTTTTGCTGGAATCAATGATGGTGAAACTGCCAAATCTGACAGGCAGGAGCGGGTTTCGAGACACAGCGTCTCATCAGCAGGGCTAGGTTTTGCTGGAATCAATGATGGTGAAACTGCCAAATCTTACAGGCAAGAACGGGTTTCGAGAAACAGCGTCTCATCAGCAGGGCTAGGTTTTGCTGGAATCAATGATGGTGAAACTGCCAAATCTGACAGGCAGGAGCGGGTTTCGAGACACAGCGTCTCATCAGCAGGGCCAGGTTTTGCTGGAATCAATGATGGTGAAACTGCCAAATCTGACAGGCAAGAACGGGTTTCGAGAAACAGCGTCTCATCAGCAGGGCCAGGTTTTGCTGGAATCAATGATGGTGAAACTGCCAAATCTGACAGGCAGGAGCGGGTTTCGAAACTCAGTATCTCATCAGCAGAGCCGGGTTTTGCTTGAATCAACGCCGGTGTTGCATGTTAGAGTAGTTTGCGTGAATTCTGTGTTTGGGTAGGAAACGAAGGTTGTGTGCACCCAGCCTGGTACAAGCGCTGCGGTGACGTCACCACAACTGTGTGTCAAACAGCAGCTGTTGTAGCTACGTGAGTCTGCGCGTGTGTCTATCTATTCGTGAGTGTGAGTGTGTGGGGAGCGGTGGTGTAGCGGTTAGCGCTACACCGCGCTACTAACCTGGCGAACCGAGTTCGATTCCCGTCTCACGGCCAACACCGGTGACGATTATCTGAACCGGTCCTGGGCCTCCCCTAGGTCGACTCAGCCTCAAGTGAGTGCCTGGTGCGGTGTAGTTAAACATCGCCACTGGGGAGACAAAGGCGGCCTGGCGTGGTGTTGGCCAGCCACCCCCTCGTGTGCCGTGCCGGCCTTTATAGGTGCTCGCTAACAGCACTTGCCCCTTCAGTCTGTTAAGGCTACACGGGGGATCTTTTTACTTGTAAGCGGGGAGCGGTGACTCAGCGGTTAGCGCACTGCGTGGAGAACCCGGCCAAGACCGCGGTTCGATTCCCACTCACTCAGGCCAAAACCAGTGACGACGATTAACCTGAACCGGTCCTGGGGCTCCCTTAGGTCGACTCAGCCTCCAAATTAGTGCCCGGCGCGATCCGCGTAAAACATCGCCACGTGTAGGGAGACGAAGGCGGCCGGGCGTGCTTCTGGCCACCGACACCACCTATCGTAGGTGAGCACTTGCCCCAATCAGTCTGTACGGGGTGTGTGTGGGGGCTGGGTGATCT